TTTTTGAGACTCAGTTTCACTCTTGTTGCCCAGGCTGGAGTGCAGTGGCGCCATCCCAGCTCACTGCAACCTCTGCTTCCTGGGTTTAAGCAATTCTGCCTCAGCCTCCTGAGTGACTGGGATTACAGGCATGTCCCACCACACCCTGCTAATTTTGTGTATTTTTAGTAGAAACAGGGTTTCTCCATGTTGGCCAGGCTGGTCTTGAACTCCTGACCTCAGGTGATCCACTGTACCAGGCCATTTTCTTTCTTCTTTATTTATATATATATATTTTGTCCTTAGGTTATGGGGTACATGTGCAAATCATGCAGGATTGTTGCATAGGTAGATACATGGCAATGTGGTTTGCTGCTCCATCCCCCCATCACCTATATCTGGCATTTCTCCCCATGTTATCCCTCCCCAACCTTCCACCCCCCACTGTCCCTCCCCTAGCTCCCCTGCAACAGACCCCAGTGTGTGATGCTCCCCTCCCTGTAACCATGTGTTCTCATTGTTCAACACCCACCTATGAGTGAGACGTGGTGTTTGATTTTCTGTTCTTCTGTCAGTTTGCTGAGAATGATGGTTTCCAGGTTTATCCATGTCCCTGCAAAGGACACAAACTCGTTTTTCATGGCTGCATAGTATTCCATAGTGTATATGTGCCACATTTTCCTTGTACGGTCTATCATCAGTGGTCATTTGGGTTGGTTCCAGGTCTTTGCTATTGTAAACAGTGCCACAGTGAACATACATGTGCATGTGTCTTTATAATAGAACATTTTTATAATAGAACGATTTACTGGTACTTTGGATGTGTACCCAGTCATGGGGTTGCTGGGTCAAATGGAATTTCCATTTCTAGGTCCTTGAGGAATCGCCACCCTGTCTTCCACAATGGTTGAACTAATTTACACTCCCACCAACAGTGTAAAAGTGTTCCTATTTCTCCACATCCTCTCCAGCATCTGTTGTCTCCAGATTTTTTAATGATTGCCATTCAAACTGGCATGAGGTGATATCTCAATGTGGTTTTGATTTGCATTTCCCTAATGACCAGTGTTGATAGAGCATTTTTTCATGTTTGTTGGCCTCGTATATATCTTCTTTTGAAAAGCGTCTGTTCATATCTTTTGCCCACTTTTGAATGGGTTTGTTTGATTTTTTTTTTCTTGTAAATCTGTTTTAGTTCTTTGTAGATTCTGGATATTAGCCCTTTGTCAGATGGGTAGATTGCAAAAATTTTTTCCCATTCTGTTGGTTGCTGGTTCACTCTAATGATTGTTTCTTTTGCTGTACAGAAGCTCTGGAGTTTAATTAGATCCCATTTGTCTATTTTGGCTTTTATTGCCAATGCCTTTGGTGTTTTAGTCATGAAGTCCGTGCCTATACCTGTGTCCTGAATGGTTTTGCCTAGACATGTTGTCTTGTTTAGTGGAAAGAAGCTTTTATTTATTTATTTAAGACAGGGTTTCATCATGTTGGTCAGGCTGGTCTTGAACTCCTGACCTCAGGTGATCTGCCTGCCTTGGCCTCCAAAGTGTTTGGATTACAGACGTGAGCCACTGTGCCTGGCCTTTTTTCTTTTTTTTTTTTTTTGATACTAAGTTTTGCTCTTATTGCCCAGGCTGGAGTGCAGTGGCATGATCTCTTCACTACAGCCTCCGTCTCCTGGGTTCAAGTGATTCTTCTGCCTTAGCCTCCCGAGTAGCTGGGATTACAGGCATGCACTACCACACCTGGCTAATTTTGTATTTTTAGTAGAGACAGGGTTTCCCCATGTTGGTCAGGCTGGTCTCGAACTCCCAACCTCAGGTGATCCACCTGCCTTGGCCTCCCAAAGTGCTGAGATTAGAGGCCTGAGCTGTTGCACCTGGCTGAAAATAAGCTTTTTCTACTTTTTTTAGTTCCTCTGATAGATTTTTTCAGGAAAAAAATATATATAGATATATATATATTTGTATATACATAAATAAATATATATGTATGTTTATTAAAAATATAAGTATATATTTATATCTCTCTCTATTTCTTTGTAGAAATTAACATGTGAAAAGTTCTGTTTCTTTTCAAGTTTTTTTGTTTTGTTTTCCTCAAGATGGAATCTCTGTCACCCAGGCCGAAATGCAGTGGCACGATCTCTGCTCACTTCAACCTTCACCTCCTGGGTTCAAGTGATTCTCCTGCCTCAGCCTCCTGAGTAGCTGGGATTACAGGTGCCTGCCACCACACAGACTAATTTTTGTGTTTTTAGTGGAGATGGGGTTTCACCATGTTGGCCAGGCTGGTCTTGAACTCCTGACCTCGTGATCCACCTACCTCGGTCTCCCAAGGTGCTGGGATTACAGGCATGAGCCACCTCACTTGGCCTGTTTCTCTTCAACTTTAAGTAATGTGACTTCTAAAACTTATTTTCCTACTTTTTTCATTTGAAATTCTCTGTAAATGGGATTATTGTACATCCATTCTATTCTATTGTTTAACTGTATAGGGAACAATCTACTAAAAAATTAATCCTGTTGACAGTTAATGTAGATTTTCCAGGAATGTAGAATAATATATTTCTCTTGTAAATGAAGTGATTCTTTTGAAAAATTCAAGGCCATAGATAAACCTATGTGTTTCTTTGTATTTTTTTTTTTTTTTTTTTTTAGCCAGAGTCTGGTTCTGTCTCCCAGGCTGGAGTTAAGTAGCACGATCTTGGCTCACTCCAACCTCCGCCTCCTAAGTTAAAGCAATTCTCCTGCCTTAGCCTCTCGAGTAGCTGGGATTACAGGTGCCCGCCATCACTCCCGGCTAATTTTTTGTATTTTCAGTAGAGACAGGGTTTCACCACATTGGCCAGGCTGATCTTGAACTCCTGACCTCAGGTGATCTGCCTGCCTCGGCCTCCCAAAGTGCTGGGATTACAGGTATGAGCCACCTCGCCTGGCTTCTCTATGTAGTCTTTTAAAATTTTTTGTGAGAATTTGTGAAAAATCAGTGTCCTTTTGGCTTTGAGAGTCCTAAGGCAATATAATTATGGTCATTAGTACCTAGGATATGCTAACTTTTAAATGTTCAGAGCAAGAAAATTCATAGGCAACGACAGTGCTTCTAAATATAACAAATTCCTTTCAAATAATACTTGTTTTAAACTCAGGTTGCCATAATTTGAGTTTTGGTTCTTGCATTTAGTTATATTTTACTACTCAAAGTTTCATCCCTGAGTTGCTAGATAAGCATCACCTAAGAATTTGTTAGAAATGTACTTTCTCAGGCTGGGCGCGATGGCTCACGCTTGTAATCCCGTAATCCTAGCACTTTGGGAGGCCAAGGTGGGTGGATTGCCTTAGCTCAGGAGTTTGAGACCAGCCTAGGCAACATGGTCAAACCCCATCTCTACTAAAATACAAAAAATTAGCCAGACATGGTGGCATGTACCTGTAGTCCCAGCTACTCTGGAAGCTGAGGCAAGGTAATTGCTTGAACCTGAGAGGCAGAGGTTGCAGTAAGCTGAGATCGTGCCACTGCACTCCAGCCCAGTCAACAGAATGAGACTCTGTCTCAAAAAAAAAAAGAAAAAAAGAAATACACTTTCTCAGGTCTCATCCAGACCTACTGATTCAGAACTGCATTTATCCCTATGTGATTTCTATACATGCCAAAGTTGGAGCAGTGTTGAGAACTTCTTTGCTACTTAGTAGTCATACCTGTTTTTGATAAATGTACAAAAGAATTATGAGCATTAAATAGTATATTTAAATGGTCAGAACAATACTAGCTTGTAATATGAACTCAGTAAATGTTAACTATTATTCTCTTAACAAACTCATAAACCCTTTTGATGGGTTGCTTCAGCTCCTCTGGCTGCTGTTTCAGTTATATTTTGCTTCAGGTGTTACTCCATGGAACGTTACTTACTATTATCTTTTGCTTTTCAACCCTTCAATACTATAGTAGTCTTTTGTCTTTTTACTTTCTTGCTATGGGCCATACGGTACTCTCTTCAGTCTGCTTTCTCTTCCTGCAGAATCATAAAACTGGAAGGGACCTTAGAGACTCACTACACATCTTCAGCAGATGTCCCAGACAGATTGAAAAAGGCTGAAGCAGGAAAGATTTAGTGTGTAAGTTCTCTTAGGCATGGAAATCCAATATGAGTAAAAATCTGAGATAAGTTTTACTTCCTCTAGAATAAAATTTTTCTAGAAAATATTATTTTGTAGTTGGTAGAAAGATGGTAGTAAATTTTAGGCTGGGAAAGGCCATCTATGATTCAGGGTAGTAGGTGCTTTTTTTAAAACTTAAAAATTCCACATTAATTACCCTTTTATATAAATTTTAACTAATCTTCTGGGGTTTGTTTTCTTCTAGTGAAGCTATCTTTCAAAATAATTTTCAGTTACTTATTTGTTTTATTTATTTTTTTCAGAGACAGAGTCTCGCTATGTTGCCCAGGCTGGTCTCAAACTCCTGAGCCCAAGTGATCTTCCTACCTTGGTCTCCCAAACGGCTGGGATTACAGGTGTGAGCCACTATACTGATTTTCAGGGGTTTTTTTGTTTTGTTTTGTTTTTTTTGAGGTGGAGTCTCACTTTGTCACCCAAGCCGGAATGCAGTGGTACAATCTTGGCTCACTGTATTCTCCACCTCCTGGGTTCAAGCAGTTCTCCTGCCTCAGCCTCCCAAATAGCTGGGATTACAGCTGCATGCCAGTGTGCCCAGCTAATTTTTTAATTTTTAGTAGAGATGCAGTTTTGCCTTTATGGCCAGGGTGGTCTCCAACTCCTGACCTCAGGTGATCTGCCTACCTTGTCCTCCCAAAGTGCTAGGATTACAGGGGTGAGCCACTGCACCCTGCCTGATTTTGTTATTTTTGAGATTTCTTTTATAGGAATGATTTAATATCTGTTTTGAGTCAATGCAGTTTTAATTCTATTTCATGGACCAAATGGAAGATGACTGATGACATTTTAAATCTTATTAGAAAGATGTGTCTTGTGGGCCAGTTGAGGTGGTTCACAGCTGTAATCTCAGCACTTTGGGTGGCCAAGGCAGGAGAATCACTTAGGAGTTGGAGACCAGCCTAGCCAACATGGCGAATCCCTGCCTCTACTAAAAATAACAAAATTCACCGGATGTGGTGGTGTGCGCCTGTAATCCCAGCTACTCTGGTGGCTGAGGCAGGATAATTGAACCTGGGAGTCCCAGGTTGCAGTGAGCTGAGATTGTGTGACTGCACTCCAGCCTGGGTGACAGATTGAGACGCTGTCTCAAAAAAAAAAAAAGAAAAATGTGACTTGTTCTTGGGTACAGTGTGTTTAAAAAGTATCATTTCTTTAGTTTCTCAGTTGGAACCAACTAGAAATCCTGAATGCAATTAATAAGTCCAAAATAATTTATTATTATTATTATTTGATTTATTTATAGGAAAATTGTTCCTAAGTTGTTGACTTTTCTTTTTTTGAGACAAGGTCTCTGTCACCCAGGCTGGAGTACAGTGGCACCATTTTGGCTTGCTACAGCCTTGACCACCTGGGTTTAAGCAATCCTCCCACCTTTACCCTCCCAAGTGTCTGGGACTACAGGCACATGCCACCCCGCCTGGCCAGTTTTTGTATTTTTTTGTAGAGATGGTTTCACCTTGTCCAGGCTGGTCTTGAACTCCTGGGCTCAAGTGATCTTCCTTCCTTCTCCTTCCACAGTGCTGGGTTTGAGTCACTGTACCCAGCAAACTTTTTTTTTTTTTTAAGGTAGTCTCACTCTGTCACCCAGACTGGAATGCAGTGGCAGATCTCTGCTCACTGCAACCTCCACCTCCCAGGTTCAAGTGATTCTCCTGCCTCAGCCTCCCGAGTAGTTGGGATTACAGGCACCCACCACCAGGCCCAGCTAATTTTTGTATTTTCAGTAGAGACAGGGTTTCACCATGTTGGCCAGGCTGGTCTTAAACTCCTGACCTCAGGCGATCCACGTGCCTTGGCCTCCCAAATTGCTAGGATTACAGGTGTGAGCCACTGTACCAAGCCAACATTCATTTTTTAATTTTTTGTTTTTGTTTTTGTTCTTTTATTTCCAACTCCTGTAGATCATTTTTAAATTTTTTATAAAGCTTTAGTAGATTCTTTAAAGCCAGCAATCTAGTATGCTGATAGCAATGAAAACTAGGAAGGATTTTCAGACTTCCATGAGTCTACTAATGTAGTTTCTTCTGCCTCCCTTCCCACCTGGCTGATGTCTTATCATTCTGTCTGAAAGATATGCCTCAAATATTTTTACCTTTTGTCTATTCCCACACCATTCTTCACTCTCCTCTTAGAACTGTCCGCCCCCCAAATTAATTCTGTGGTCTGTGTTTTTAGTGTTGTGTTCATAACTCCCAAAACATTGATCATAAAATAGTAAAATCATTAGTAATTGATACTGTCCTGGTTAGATTGTGACTAGAGTCTTGACATTAAGGACCAGATTATCATCCCTTATATCTAACATTCCTTGGCACACAGTGAATTCTAGAAGAATTTTAATCAAATGAAGTTAAGGATAGCACTGTGGATGAGCTATATTTTAAATCACTAAAATGATGAATGTAATAATGAAGTAAGCCTGTTATTTTTGATACTGTCTATTTAAAATATGGAAAGTTAATAATACATTAAATTTTGAATTTTTTTTTTTTGAAACAGTGTTACTCTGTCATCCAGTCTGCAGTGCAGTGGCACAATCTTGGCTCACTGCAATTTCCACCTCCTGGGTTCAAGCAATCTTCATGTCTTAGCTTCCAGAGTAGCTGGAATTACTACAAGCACGTGCCACCATACCCAGCTGATTTTTGTTTTTAGTAGAGACAGGGTTTCACCATATTGGCCAGGCTGGTCTACAACTTCTGACCACAAATGATCCTCCCACCTCAGCCTCCCAGGTGCTGGGATTACAGGCATATACCACTGTGCCCAGCTGAAAATTAAATTAAAGTGTTAATGTTAATTTCAGGGTTAGTTCACCTTGAAAACTATCCTCAGATATAGATATACTGAGGATTCTAGGTAACCAGGTATAGTGATTTTTTTGTTTGTTTGTTTTTGATGGTGTCTTGCTCTGTCTCCTAGGCTAGAGTGCAGTGGCATGACCTCAGGTCACTACAACCTCTGCCTCCCAGGTTCAAGCAATTCTACTGCCTCAGCCTCCCAAGTAGCTGGAATTACAGACACCCACTACCATGCTCGGCTAAATTTTGTATTTTTAGTAGAGACCGAGTTTCACCATGTTAGCCAAGCTAGTCTCAAAACTCCTGACAGGTGATCCGCCCACCTTAGCATCCCAAAGTTCTGGGATTAAAAGCATGAGCCACCACACCCAGCTACTAGGTATATTGATATTTTCTACAGTGGCAGTTCTCAAACTTTCTGGTCTGAGGAGTTCTTACACACTTAAAAATTATTGAAGACCTGGCCGGCGTGGTGGCTCATGCCTAATCCCAGCATGTTGGGAGGCCGAGGCAGGTGGATCACGAGTTCAAATCCATCCTGGCCAACATGGTGAAACCCTGTTGCTACTAAAAATACAAAAATCAGCTGGGTGTGGTGGCACGTGCCTCTAATCCCAGCTACTCGGGAGGCTGAAGCATTAGAATTGCTTGAACCCAGGAGGTGGAGGTTGCAGTGAGCTGAGATCGTACCACTGTAGTCCAGCCCGGCGACAGAGCGAGACTGTGTCTCAAAACAAAAAGAATTTATGGAAGACCCGAAGCTTTAGTTATGTAGGTTATATCTATGAATATTAACTATATCAAAAATTAAATGACTTTTTAAATGAAAAATAGCCATATTTTTAAAAATTGGTAAGAGTGTCATTGTTTTATCAGTTTTGCAAATCACCTAACGTCTAGCTGGATTTTTATATCTGCTTCTGCCTTCACTTTATTGCAAAATGTGTTGTTTGACATCTGAAGAAAATCTGGCCTCACAAATATATGATTGGAGAAAGGGAGAGTGTTTAGCCTTTCAGACTTTCAGATAAGTGTGGATGTTCTTTGATACTACAACCAAAAATCAAGTGGTAGTTTGTTAAAAGCTGGTTGCAGTGTGGCTCAGTTAACTTTTTGCACTCTTATGTTAAAATTCATTAATCTGTCTTGTACTTTGAATGGATCTTTAACCCATGAATGATTTCTGTAATATGCTATTGTCATTTGGAAAATATTGGTTTATTGAGTACTGCAGATCTTTCAAATGTGGACATATTTTATTATGCAGTATTTTTTAAATCACCACTAATCTCAGAAAACTTCTTAAGTTTTGGGAATCAATCACGTTGAAGTTGGAAGATACAAGTTTTCCAAAATTCTAATTATCACTTGAAAGCCAAAATTTTATCGTTAGTGGTAATTACTGTCAGTCATTTTATTTGAAGTGACAGTCTCATTTTTTTCATTTTCAAGAAAATATCTGCAGATACCCACTTCTGGATAATTGTTTGTCTTGAAACTATTTATGGTGAACTATTTACAGTACTTTGAAGTAAAAATGTTTTCCATGAAAAAAGTGGCTAATTTATTATAACTCAACATTTCCATATGAGCTTTTCCTTGAGACAACCATCATCCTTTTGTGTCCAGAAGTATTTTATGCCTATGTCCTAGTTTGTCAAACAGAATTACTTTCTTCTGGCCCTACCACTTGGCCAAGACAGAATATTTTTTAATTGTACTTAAGGATGAAATTTAAATAATTTCAAATATTTTGCTGTTTCATTGAGTACATCCTTAAGTGAAACTGATACTTTTTTTATTTTTTATTTTTAGCAGTGAATGTGTAGCAGGGAATAACATGAATATTAGTACATTTGGGTGCTGCTGCCTTGATTTCTGCTAAGGCTGACAGTTTTAGACACTATTGCCTTTTTTCTTTTCCAAATTCATTGAAGTGAAATTAGTATTTTTTTTAAAAAAAAACCATTTCATTGGCATTTAGTATATTCATAATTTGTGACTATCACCTTTCTTGTTCCAGAGCATTTCCATCACTTCAAAGTAAAACACCTTATACATTAAGCAGTTTCTCCTGATTTCCCTCTCCCCACAGTGCCTGTCAATCACCAGGATGCATTGTATCTATAGATGTATCTATTCTGAATAGCTCATATAAATGGAATCCAGTGTGACTTTTTTAAGACTGGATATTATTACTCTGTTGCTCAGGCTATAGTGCAGTGACTTTTTATGTCTGGTTCTTTGCCTTAGCATAATATTTTCAAGGTTTGTCCATGTTGTACCATGTATCAGTACTTAATTCTTTTTGTTAATAGGTGAATAATATTCCACTGTATGTATATAACACAATGTGCTTATCCAGTCATTCACTTACTGATTTGGGCTGTTTTTGTCTTTTGACTATTGTGAATAGTGCTATTATGAATATACAGGTACATGTGTTTGAGTACCTGTTTTCAGTTTTTTGGGTGTATACCAAAGAGTGGGATTGCAGGGTCCTACCATTAGCTTTGCAACATCAGTTGCAAAGTGATGTTGCAAACATCAACACAACGAAAAGGCAAATAACATTATTATGAAAACAGTTTTGATCTTGGGGATCCCCCTGGGATTTGAAGACCATACCTTGAGATTCTCTGTCCTGTAGATTCCAGAGTTGCTCATATGAATATGTGATCTCTCATCATCACTTGGTTTTCACTAGCACTACCTAATACAGGCTAGCTCGTCTTCAAAACTGCACTATCAAAGTCAGGCATGGTGGGATTATGTACCTGTAATCCTAGCTACTCGGGAGGCTGAGATAGGAGAATCTTTTGAGCCCAAGAGTTCGAGGCCAGCCTGGGCAACACAGCAGGACCCTGTCTCTTTAACAAACAAAAACAAAAAAACTGCACTATCAGATGTGCTTTGTAATCTATAAGGTATGGATGAGAAAATTAACACTTAGGGAGTATAAATGTGAGAGAACTGGATACCAGGTTTTCTTATTTCAAGGCTAATGTTCTTACTCTATTTTGAGAGGTCATTTCGTTTATAAAGATAAAGAAGTTATAATTTAAACTGCTTAATGGTGTCCTTGATGTTTATTCTTAGAGACATTTTAAATCCAAAGGATGTGATCAGTGTCCAGCTGGAAGAAGCTACCTCTTGCAAAACTTTTTGCAGCCTATCTTGTCTTTCATCATATGAAGAAAAAAGAAAACCATTTGTTACCATATGTACTAATAGCATTTTGACCAAGTGCAGCATGTGCCAGAAGACTGCTACTGTAAGTTGCAATTATAAACTTTGAAGGGGTTCTGATGATTCTGCTTAAATATCAGAGTTTTTACTGAATCTTTTTATTAAATCCTAGATTCAGTATGAAGTAAAATACCAGAATGTGAATCATAATCTTTGCAGTAATGCCTGCCTTTCAAAGTTTCACTCTGCTAACAACTTCATCATGAACTGCTGTGAGAACTGTGGTGCCTACTGTTACACCAGCTCTAGTCTGTCCCACATACTTCAGGTGGAAGGACAGTCTCATTATTATAATAGTTCAAAGAGTATTACAGCATATAAGCAGGTATGAATTAAGACCTATTGTTTCTTCTATTAACTGTCCTATGAATGGTTCCACTCTAGGAAAATGTGGGAAGTAGTTTTTGGTACCCTTTGGAATAATGTCAGGTGGTAAGTTGATGAAGATGAAATAGAAGACTTTTGACAGTTTCCTCTTGCATAAGAATTCATGATGGGGCAGGGTATGATTAAAAAAAAGAATTCATTATAAATGCTATATGGAGATCTTCCTAAATAATCTCAGATTGATTATCTTACCTTAAGGAGAGGGCAAGCAGGTTGGAGCCAGTTTATAAACTACAGATAAGTATAGTAAAAACACCAGTAGTCTACTGGTCAATAAAACCCAAACACAAAAGTATTTTTGTTTTGTTTTTAATTTTTTTTTTTTTGAGACGGAGTTTCACTCTTGTTGCCCAGGCTGGAGTGCAATGGTGCAATCTTGGCTCACCGCAACCTCCGCCTCCTGGGTTCAGGCAATTCTCCTGCCTCAACCTCCTCAGTAGCTGGGATTACAGGCATGCGCCACCATGCNGAATGTATCTCAAAATAATAAAAGTTATTTACGACAAAGCCACAGCCAATATCATACTGAATGGGCAAAAACTGGAAGCATTCCCTTTGAAATCTGGCACTAGACAAGGATGCCCTCTGTCACCACTCCTATTCAATATAGTATTGGAAGTTCTAGCCAGAACAATCAGGCAAGAAAAAGAAATAAAAGGTATTCAATTAGGAAAGGAGGAAGTCGAATTATCTCTATTTGCAGACGACATGATTGTATATTTAGAAGACCCCATCATCTTCTAAATATACAGACGCTACAGTAATCAATACAGCATGGTACTGGTACCAAAACAGAGATATAGACCAATGGAACAGAACAGAGGCCTCAGAGGCAACATCACACATCTATAACCATCTGATCTTTGACAAACCTGACAAAAACAAGCAATAGGGAAAGGATTTCCTGTTTCTTAAATGAGGTTGGGGAAACTGGCTAGCCATGTGCAGAAAGCAGAAACTGCACCCCTTCCTGACACCCTACACTAAAATTAACTCCAGATGGATTAAAGACTTAAACAAAAGACCTAACACCATAAAATCCCTAGAAGAAAACCTAGGCAAAATCATTCAGGACATAGGCATAGGCAAGGACTTCATGACTAAAACACCAAAAGCATTGGCAACAAAAGCCAACATAGACAAATGGGATCTAATTAAACTCCAGAGCTTCTATACAGCAAAAGAAACAATCATTAGAGTGAACTGGCAACCAACAGAATGGGAAAAAAATTTTGCAATCTACCCATCTGACAAAGGGCTAATATCTAGAATCTACAAAGAACTAAAACAGATTTACAAGAAAAAAACAAACCCATTCAAACGTGGGTTAAGGATATGAACACTTTTCAAAAGAAGACATATATGAGGCCAACAAACATGAAAAAATGCTCATCCTCACTGGTCATTAGAGAAATGCAAATCAAAACTACATTGAGATACCATCACATGCCGGTTAGAATGGCGATCATTAAAAAATCTGGAGACAACAGATGCTGGAGAGGATGTGGAGATATAAGAACACTTTTACACTGTTGGTGGGAGCGTAAATTAGCTCAACCATTGTGGAAGATAGTGTGCGATTCCTCAAGTACCTAGAAATAGAAATCCCATTTGACCCAGCAATTCCATTACTGGGTATATATCCAAAGAATTATAAATCGTTCTACTATAAGGACACATGCACATGTATGTTCACTGCAGCACTGTTTACAATAGCAAAGACCTGGAACCAATCCAAATGCCCATTGATGATAGAGTGGACAAGGAAAATGTGGCACATATAAACCATGGAATACTATGCAGTCATAAAAAATGATGAGTTTGTGTCCTTTGTAAAGACATGGATGAATCTGGAAACCATCATTCTCAGCAAACTGACACACGAACAGGAAATCAAGCATTGCATGTTCTCAGTCATAGGCTGGTGTTGAACAATGAGAACACATGGACACAGGGAGGGGAACATCACACACTGGGGTCTGTTGTGGGGGAATAGGGGAGGGACAGTGGGGATAGGGAATTGGGGAGGGATAACATGGGGAGAAATGCCAGATATAGGTGATGGGGGGATGGAGGCAGCAAACCATATTGCCATGTATGTACTTATGCAACAATCCTGCATGTTCTGCACACGTATACCAGAACCTAAAGTGCAATAAAATATATATTTAAAAAAGAAATTTGGCTCAGGGCTGGAGCTAGTTCCTTCCAGGGTTTTGGACAACCACCTGAAAAACCTTCATCAGTGCCTGGGACTGTCCAAAATCCTGGCTTGAGTTCAGGCCTGCAGGACAAAACAAGCAGCTGCCCAGGACACACAACTGTGAAGAAGCCTTTGTTTCTCAGTCAGGACAGAAAAAAGAAACTGAGAGACCCAACATACCCCAAAGTCAGACAGCTGGATCTTACAGTTTTATTCCTAATTTTTTAAGGAAACTCCATATTATATTCTACAGCAGCTGTATCATTTTACATTCCCACTAACAGTGCAAAAGGATTCACATTTCTCCACATGCTCACCAACTTTTTTTTTGGGAGTTGTCTCTCTGCTACCAGGCTGGAGTGCAGTGGCATTATCACGGTTCACTCCAGCTTCAACCTCCCATGCTCATTATATCCTTCAGACTTAAAAATCCTCTTGTATCAGCCTTGGAAGAAGCTGGGAGCACATGCTCGGCTTTTTTTTTTTTTTTTTTTTTGGTGTGTGTGTGTGACAAGGTCTTGCTCTGTCAGCCAGCCTGGAGTACAGTGGCAGTCATGGCTTACCATAACCTTGATCTCTTTAGCTCAAGTGATACTCCCACATCAGCGTCCCGAGTAGCTGGGACTACAGGCACATGCCACCACACCTGGCTAGTTTTTAAATTTTTTGTAGAGACAAGCCCTTACTGTGTTGTCCAAGCTTGTCTTAAAACTCCCGAACTTAGCTGATTCTGTCTTAGTCTCCTAAGGTGCTGGGATTACTGGTGTGAGCCTAGCCATGTTTTTGTTTTCAATTCCATGTGTTTAACTCTTATACTAAACAATGCAAAAATAAAGAATGTCACATGTGGCTTGGCATGGTGGCTTACACCTGTTATCCTAGCACTTTGGGAGACCAAGGTGGGAGGTCAGTTGAGCTAGGAGTTCGAGACCAGCCTGGGCAACATAGCAAGAACTCATCTCTAAAAAGTAAAAAAGAATATCACATGCTTTTTCTGAATCAGTCATAGGAGGAAATAATTCAGTGAGATTTGGATTATTTGTCCCAGCACTTCAGAAAGCCAAGGCAGGCAGATCACCTGAGGTCAGGAGTTGCAGACCAGCCTGGCCAACATGGCAAAACCCTGTCTCTACTGAGAATACAAAATTAGGCCAGGCGCGGTGGCTCAAGCCTGTAATCCCAGTTACTCAGGAAGCTGAGGCAGGAGAATTGCCTGAACCCAGGAGGCGGAGGTTGCGGTGAGCCGAGATCGCGCCATTGCACTCCAGCCTGGGTAACAAGAGCGAAACTCCGTCCCAAAAAAAAAAAAAAAGAATACAAAATTAGCCAGGTGTGGTGGCGGGCATCTGTAATCCTAACTACTTGGGAGTCTGAGGCAGGAGAGTCACTTGAACCCGGGAGGCGGAGGTTGCAGTGAACCAAGATGGCACCATTGTACTCCACCCTGGGCGACAGAGTGAAACTCTGTCTCAAGAAAAAAAAAAGAAAAAGCAGTTGAAGATGGGAGTCAAAACAAGCCATAATTCAAATAGATCATTTGTGACCCACATCTTTTCTATGGCAGAATGCCCCATCTTGAGAATATCTTGCCTTAAGACCAGAAATGGCAAAACGGAAAGCACAGACTTCTCCCAAAGGCAGGAAATAATATTCCTTTTTTAAATTTATTTATTTATGACACTCAATAAATAGGCCTTGTTCTTTTTTAAGAGCTTGTATTGAGTACCCAGTTGTTCAGCTTATGTGCAGTGACAGGACTGATTTGGGTAAACCGGCTAGTTAACAAGTACAGCCTAATACTTTGCCCTTATATCTGAATGTAAGACATCATGTGACAGTGATAACGGAGTAAATCTATAATGTTAGTGAACTACAATCCAGAATTAGAAAAATGCCCAAATATGTGAATCTAAAAAGGGGATAGCTTTTAATTTTTAGAAAGTAGATTATTAGATGTAATTATTTTGGCCACATGTTAATAGATTGTATTGTTAGCCTTCCCTTATGAATAATAAACTAACTTAATTATAAATTATACCACTGTTGGGCCGGGCCCAGTGGCCCACGCCTCTAATTCCAGCACTTTGGGAGGCCAAACAGGAGGATCACTTGAGATCAGGAGTTCAAGACCAACCTGGCCAACATGGTGAAACGCCATCTCTACTAAAAATAGAAAAATTAGCCAAGCATGGTGGCATATGCCTGTAATCCTAGCTATTCAGGAGGCTGAGATATGAGAATTGCTTGAACCCCAGAGGTAAAGGTTGCAATGAGCCAAGATCACACCACTGCACTCCAGCCTAGACAACAAAGCAAGACCCTGTCTCAAAAATAATTAAATAAATATTAGGCCACTATTGTTGCTTAATGTTAAAGATTAGTGAATTTTTAAGCTTTCTCAAAATATAAAAGTTTTTCATACTAATAAAGGATAAAAATAGAAATTTGTTTCATTGTGCCTTTGCCAATATCCTGTTCTCTCACAGAAAAATAAAACGTGTATTTTTTTGTCTTTGGACTTTGTTGTTGTTATTGTTGTTGTTTTTGAGACAGAAGTCTTGCTCTATTGCCCAGGCTGGAGTGCAATGGCATGATCTTGACCCACTGCAACCTCCACCTTCCAGGTTCCAGCTATTCTTCCGCCTCAGCCTCCCTAGTAGCTGGGATTACAGGCGCACATCACCACGCCTGGCTATGTTTTGCATTTTTGTAGAAACAGGGTTTCACCGTGATGGCCAGGCTGGTCTTGAACTCTAGACCTCAGGTAATCTGGCTGCCTTGGCCTCTCGAAGTGCTGGGATTACAGGCATGAGCCACCACGCCTGACCTATCTTTGTACTTTGTATCTCCAAAAGGAGTTTTATTCTATCATTACCATTGGTGATTTATTTTTTTAGACTGAGTCTAGACTGGAGGCTGGAGTGCACTGGTGAGCACAGCTCACTGGAGGCCCAACCTCAGGTGTTCAAGCAATCCTTCTGCCTTAGCCTCCCATGTAGCTGGGACCACAGGCATATGCTACCACACCTGGTTTATGTTTGTGTTTTTTTGTAGAGATGGTTCTCACTTTGTTGCCCAGGCTGGTCTCGAACTCCTGGGCTCAAGTGACCTTCCTGCCTCAGCTTCTCAAAGTGCTGGGATTGTAGGCAAGAACCACCACACCCAACCTGATGTATTCTTTTTTCTGTCTTTTTTTTGAGATAGAGTCTTACTCTGTCACCCAGCCTGGAGTGCAGTGGCATGATCTTGGCTCACTGAAACCTCTGTCTTCTTGGGCTTAAGTGATCCTCCCCACCTCAGCCTCGCAAGTAGCAGGGACTACAGGCACATCCCACCACACTAGGCTAATTTTTTATTTTTATTTATTTATTTTTAAGAGATGAGGTCTCACTATTTTACCAGTCTGGTCTGAAACTCCTGGGCTCAGGTGATCCTCCTGCCTCAGCCTCTGAAAGTTGAGATTACAGCTGTGAGCCACTGTGCCTAGGCTCTGATATATTCTTAAATCCAGGAATGCTGGGTCCTGTTTGACAAGAAAGAATAGATGGTAAACATAATCTTTGCAGTAATGCCTGCCTTTCTGAAAGTTTATATCTCTTCTTTGACACAGTTACTACTTACTGAACACAAAATAATTTTTACCATGAAGTTAGCCTAGAAAAACAGTGATACCCACAGTAACTTGTAAGATACGTTAAGCACTCCTTCCTGGCTACTCCTCAGCATAGGTAGACGTTTTCCAAAGTTAATTCCCAAGCCACCATTGAGGACACACCTGTAATTAATAAGGCCTTTGTTTATCCAGTAGGCTTTGACTGCCTGATATGATGAACTTCTTTTGTGACTGCTTTCTTTATTGCTTTATTTCGTTTTATGTTTTTTTCTTGAAATGAGATTTCACTCTCACTCAGGCTAGAGTGCAGTGGCGTGATCTTGGCTCACTGCAACCTCCTGTACCCAGGTTCAAGTGATTCTCCGGCCTCAGCCTCCAAGTAGCTGGGATCACAGGCACTCACCACCACCCCTAGCTAATTTTTTGTATTTTTAGTAGATGGGGTTTCACCATGTTGGCCAGGCTGGTCTCAAACTCCTAACCTCAGGTGATCTGCCCGCCTCAGCCTCCCAAAGTGCTAGATTGAGCCTGGCCCTATTGCTTTCATAGTTATTATTGTTGTTAAATATAGCTAATAAAAATCCTTTTCAAATTTGCCAATATTCTTTATTTTAATTATTGTAATCTGTAATGTCTTTTTTAAGAAAATGTAAAAAACTGGCTTCACTGTTATTTTCATTTTTTATTTATTTTTATTTTTTTATTTTTAATTTGAGACAAAATCTCACTCTGTCACCCAGGCTGGAGTGTGGTGTCACGTTCTCGGCTCACTGCAACCTCCACCTCCCGGGTTCAAGTGATCCGCATGCCTCAGCCTCCCAAGTAGCTGGGATTACAGGTGTCTGCCACCACCCCCAGCTAATTTTTGTATATTTAGTAGGTGGGGTTTCCCCATATGGCCAGGCTGGTCTCGAACTCCTGACCCCAAGTAATAGACTCCCAAAGTTCTGGGATTACAGGCCTGAGCCACCCCGCCTAGCCTGTTCTTTTTAATATTTCAACTAAAAGCAGTGGTAATAGATAAGTTCTTGTTTGTTAACAATATATGTCATATACCAGGAATATGAATATTCTTTTAATCTCTACACAGAAAGCTGCCAAACCACTTACATCTGTTCCTTGCAAACCATTGAAGCCCTCAGATGAAATGATTGAGACTACCAGTGATTTGGGGAAGACAGAGCTTTTCTGCTCTATTAATTGTTTCTCTGCATACAGTAAAGCTAAGATGGAATCTTCTTCAGGTAATGTTTGTTTAGCAATTTCACAGGTTTAGTAATTATTAATAAATAATATTTTGCTTTAATTTATAAACTTGATTAATTTTCAATTTAAACTGACTTTTAAAAGTCAAAACAATCTAAACTTGTTGCAAAGAACTATTCTTCAGTATTTTTGTATAAAAGTAAGGCTACTTAACCACCCAAGATTTAATATTATTTGTAGGCCTGGCACAGTGGCTTATGCCTGTAATCCCAGCACTTTGGGAGGCCAAGGTGGGTGGATCACCTGAGGTCAGGAGTTCAAGACCAGCCTGGCCAACATGGCGAAACCCCATCCCTACTAAAAATACAAAGTATTCTCTGGGTGTGGTGGTGGGTGCCTGTAATCCCAGCTACTTAGGGGGCTGAGGCAGGAGAATCACTTGAACCTGGGTGGTGGAGGTTGCAGTGAGCCAAGATCACACCATTGGACTCCAGTTTGGGCAACGGAGGGAGACTGTCTCAAAAAAAATAATAATAAAATAAAAATTTAAAGATACATATCTTTAGATTATTTGGATTCTTTAGTAAATGAACATACATATGTTTACATCAATATATATTGCGCATCAGCTGGGCATAGTGATTCACGCCTTTTAATCCCAGCACTTTGGGAGGCCAAGGCGAGCGGATCACAAGGTCAGGAGTTCAAGACCAGCCTGGCCATATGGTGAAACCCCGTCCCTACTAAAAATACAAACAGCAGCTGGGCATTGTGGCACATTCCTGTAATCCCAGCTACTCAGGAGGCTGAGGCAGGAGAATCACTTGAAACTGGAAGGTGGAGGCTGCAGTGAGCCAAGATCGGGCCACTGCATTCCAGCTTGAGCTACAGAGTGAGACTCGTCTCAAAAAGAAAAAATATATATACACATATATATGGAAAGTGAGAGCACACCTATTGCAGAACATGGTACATAGGAGGCACTTGGTCAACAGAGTTTAATTAATATATTTACAAGACTGCTTCTATTAAGACATAGAATGTTTTACTTAGCCCTGCTTTGTAAAAACAAGTATTTTCGTTACTTTTTTTTTTTTTTTTTTTTTTACATGAAATAGAGGTAATTGTAAATGCTTTAAGACTCACTAATAAAAAAGCACAAATAATCCAGCCAACTAAGTATTCCATCAGAAAGCCTCATGTAGGACTAGTGGTGCTATTTACATAGACCATAGAGTGACTGATGCCTCTGGGATTTGTAAATCATGCAAACTGGCTTGTTACCGAAATGTCTGCGATAGTAGCTTGGACGCCAACCTAGCACTCCATTGATGCTGAGGTTTATGAATCCTGGAAGAGTTTGAAATTGATGCCCATTAGGACATTCTATAAGAATCTCTTAGCCGGGCGCGGTGGCTCAAGCCTGTAATCCCAGCACTTTGGGAGGCCGAGGCGGGTGGATCACGAGGTCAAGAGATCGAGACCATCCTGGTCAACATGGTGAAACCCCGTCTCTACTAAAAATACGAAACATTAGCTGGGCATGGTGGCACGTGCCTGTAATGTAATCCCAGCTACTCAGGAGGCTGAGGCAGGAGAATTGCCTGAACCCAGGAGGCGGAGGTTGCGGTGAGCCGAGATTGCGCCGAGCCGAGATTGCGCCATTGCACTCCAGCCTGGGTAACGAGTGAAACTCCGTCTCGGAAAAAAAAAAAAAAAAAAAGAATCTCTTTTCTTCATGAGTAATATCACAGTAAAAATTTGCTCATAATTTTAAACAAATTGTTTAAAAGGACTGGGAAATTGTGCACAAAGGTTAAGACATAAAATGTTGGAGAAGTGTAAATTTCCAGTGTAGTATTGTAATTATAAATATGATACTAAAGAACCTGGCTATTCCTAAACCCTAATAAAAATTACTTCAGCACCTACCAATTTCTTATGCTGTTAAATGCCTGCATTATTTCTTGAAACAGTGTTTAATTAAACAGTACTATCTGATTGATTGATTTTTTTTTTTCTACTTTCTAAGAAATCTTTTTGTTTTTGTTTTTGTCAGTAAATGTTTCCACGGCACATGATACTTCAACAGAGCTTCCTTCTCCAAAGAAAGATACAACTCCAGTTATAAGCAATATAGTGTCATTGGCAGACACTCATGTTGCCTTGCCCATCATGAACACTGATGTCTTACAAGGTAAAAGTTGATGTTAAGATATTTGACATAAATAGTGTTTTGTCACACTTGATAAATCTCTATATGCTAAATGTTCTTTTTCTTATATGAAATAAGCAATTACAGTTTATGATGCTATTTTATAGGATATAGTATAATATCTTGAATTTATGCTCTATTTTAACAGATACAGTTTCTTCAGTAACAGCAGATGTCATTGTGGATGTAAGTTTTATTTTAACTTTTTTTTTCCCATTGTCTTTTTTTAATAAGCGGATTTTTTTTTTTTTTTTTTTTTTTTTTTTTTTTTTTTTTTTTTTTTTTTTTTTTTT